GGCGGCAATAAAGGGACGGGACACGGTCTTCAAGGGACAAAGGGGTGGCTAGAACGGGGACTTGCGTCTCAGGCCCGGCACAGACTTGGGCTGGCGCTGGGGAGCTGGGCACTGCGGGGAGATCCCTGCTCATCCCTGCCCGCTCACCAGTACCGGGGTGGGGGCAGGACTGTGGGCCCCCCACTGAGGAAAAGTAACGGACTCAACTACACTAACAGGTCACAGTGATCGACTCATGGCGACCCCGTGTGTGTCAGAGTAGAACTGTGCTCCATAGGGTTGCAATGGCTGATTTTTTCAGAAGTAGATTGCCAGGCCTTTCTTCCAAGGCACCTCTGGGTGGACTTGAACCTCCAAACTTTTGGTTAGCAGTCGAACGCATTCACCGTTTGCATCACCAGGGACCTAGGGGCTGCCCGGGGGCTGCCGCTTCACCCAGGATGTGGTGCAGCCACCACCGCTATCCATTTCCAACCTTTCCATGGCCCCAAACAGAAACTCGGTGCCCCCTAGTTACTCGGTGGTAACTGTATGTTTAATGCAGCTGTTTTTGATTGCCTTTTGCCCAGTGCCTTCACCCAGGGAGCACCGTGTGTGCCAGGCCTGTTGCCCAGGGCCGTCTGCACAATTCCTCTCCAGCTGACTGGCCTCGGAACGCTGGCTCTGCCCTGCCTGCTGCCCGGGCACACTGCCTGCTTTGGAACGCCCTCTGCAGAAGGGCCTCTGCCTGGGAACCCCTCCTGCACGCTGCACTCTCCGCGCTGCCATTGGCACGGCTTCCTCCTCCCGTGATGCCTTCTGCACCTGCTCTCTGCTCGGGCATTTGTGGGTCTCTGCTCTAGAGTGGCCCCTGGCTATGAGATGCTGCTTCCTGTGAGCCCCCAGATTCAAGGCCATTTTCAGTGAATACTGTTCACACGGTCAGGTTCTTAACAGCTTTATCGGGGTAGAATCAACACGCAACAAAGTGCATACATTGCAAGCGGACAATGTGATCAGTTTCGACACATGTACACACCCGTGAAACCATCACCCCCATCACGTTCCTCGTGCTCCTTTGTAATCTCTCCCACCTGCCCCTCCCCCTCCCCGCAACCACTAATCTGCTTTGTCATCAGAGAATAGTTTGCATTTTTTAGAGTTTTATATAAATGGAATCATACACTCTTTTGGGGGGGATGGGAACATTCTGAAACTTAGCTGGGGTGATAGGTGTAAGGATGAAGGCATTTGTCAGGATCCGTCAGACTACACTCAAGATGGGCATATTTTAATATATATTAAGGATCCCTCACTTTTTTTAAAGGAAGGCCTAGTAATGAATTCATCCTACCAGTGAAACGCAGAATGAAGTAAGTCCAGGTGCAGCAGGTACAGTGCTCGGTAGCCAAGAGGTGGGTGTGAGCCAGAACACCTCTGTCCAAGGTGTCACCCTTTGTCTAGGCAGCTGGACAGCGACTTCAAGGAGCCACAGGAGGCTGGGTTGTGAGTGCCCTCAGGTAAAATGTCTCAGCTGGGGCCTGCGCTTTCATGACAGCTCCATGCAGCAGTTTTTGCTTCTCATGAGAGGATTGATTGAACAGCCTCTTAGTGGGTGGTTTTACTATGGTCCGTGTTCCCATTCCCAGGCACAGGAAATATCTGCAACTAAAGGGGATCAAGGAGCCCTGGTGGCACAGTAGTTAGAGCACTTGGCTGCTAACCAAAAGGTCAGCAGTTTGAACCCGCCAGCATTCTGCAGTAGAAAGATGTGGCAGTCTGCTTCCGTAAAAAGATTTACAGCCTAGGAAACCCTATGGGGCAGTTCTGTTCTGTCTTATAGGGTTGCTATGAGTGGGAATCGACTCCACGGCAGTGGGTTTAGTTTTGGTTTAAGGTGACATCTGCAAAGATCTTGCTCTGTGACCTTTAATTTAAAATTGTTTACTTTTCATATTTTAAAAACAAATTCTAGAAAAGCCTGTTCTCGTTTCCCAAATAAAGCAAACTAAATCGATTACGCGACCAAAGCCCCACCACTTCGGACCTTGGAAAGCAGTAAGGGGTTTCCGAGCCTAGATGCTCCAAGGGTGGTCTGGAATCTACCGCATGGCGGTCACCGAGCTTTTGAGAAACGCAGAATCTCAGCCCTGCTCTGAACTCCTGACTCTGAAGCTGCATTTTTATCAAGATGGGGGGTGGGTGTCGCCTTACAGCCGCCCTTTTCTGGACAGTGCCTTGGCCCTCGATGCCAGGCTAACGCTCCTGGCCTCCCTGGGGGAAAGGGCAGCAGATGGGTACCACGTGGCCCTGCAATCAGGAGCCGGGCGGGAGAGTGGAGTGGTTTGCTCGTTGTTTGTCTGGCTCTGTGGGGAGCCCCGACAATTGTCACGTCTTCGTGACACACAGGATGCAGCCGTATGCTCGGCTGTCCCCCAGGAAACACGACCAATCAAAAGTCAGTAGGAACGAAGCCCCGCACCCCGGCCTGTCCTTTGCACACGGGCCAACTCAGGCTGCTTGGAATATGCAAATGAGGAGGGGAGAGGATGACTGTCACTCCACAGCTCCCGTCCAATGAGGCAGAGCCATGTGTAACCTGCCCTGCAAGGGCTGCTGGGCCGGCGGCACGTGGCGGGCTGGAGGCTTCGGGCGGGAGTGCACGCGGCCGGGGGGGTCTGGGCGGGGCAGGGGACCCCAGGGCGGGACCCCCAGTGCGCAGCCGCAAGTGGGCCGTGTGCAGCGGAGTGGGGGGGGGGGGTACCTTTTTAACCCACCCGCGCCAGAACAGACGCGTGGATACCGCGCTTGGAGTGCCTTGCTCCAGACGCTTCTCCACGGGTAAGGTGCGGCTCGGATGGCCTGGGTGACACGGGGGGAACAGGGCGGCCACCCAGCTGCAGGGACTACTATCGCCCCCTCACCCCGGGGTTCCCTGCCGTGCGGGGCCGCCGGGCACTATGGGGGGCTTGTTTTGCACCTCCGTCTGCAGGAAGAAGGGGCTCTCGGCCTCTCTCCTGGCCGCGGCCCACTTCCATCCGTGGGGTGTGCTCCCGCTCCGGGTGGGGGTGTGAGATCGTGGGGAGCGGCGTGGGGATGAGAAGGTGTGGGAGACTGGGGGCAGGGTGGGGTGGGGTGTGAGGAGTTTGGGGATGTGGGATGTGAGTGTGGGGGGGCGACCGGGATACGGGGTGGTGGGTACGGGTGTGAGGGGGATATGGGGGCAGGGTGGGGGCAGATGTGAGGAGGTTAGGGGTGTAGAGTGTGGATGTAGGGGGCGACAGGCATGGGGGTGGGAAGGTGT